CAGCATATTAGAATGATTTCTGAAGGATCATGTGACACTGAGGACTGGAGTAATGATGCTGAAAATTCAGTGCTGCGTCACAGAAATAAATTATATTTTAAAGTATAATAAGGTAGGAAACCAATATTAGAAATTGTAATAATATTGAACAATATTACTGTATTTTTGATCAAATAAATACAGCCTTGATGAGATAAGACTTCATAAAAAAAAATGTTTTAAAAAAATTATATAAAAGAGATATATATCAGATATACATAATAGGCCTGTGTGTGTGTGTCCCTTATTCTGTCCCTTATTTTCCTTTTCTGAAGTGGGACAAAACAGGTCCAGCAAGGGTAACTTCTATTAGGTTTAAAAATAAAAATATTTTCATTTTTAAATGTCATGAGGGATTAATAATAGAATGTATTTAACACAATTTTCACCTTCAATTTAATTTTCTCATTATTATACCAAATCTGTTTCTTAATGTCCTCTCACTACATCTAAAACAGTGTGTCCACTGTCCACAGAGAAGGGTTCAATCATTCATATGCAATAAAATGGATAAAAATGTTTTTTTAATGATGAAAAAGAGCTTGTTTTATCAAAACCAACACTTGATAATATATCCTATCAAAGCAAGGTTGTTTTTTAATGACACATGCATGTTTAATACGATTTTAAAGTTGCATCCCCACTTTTTGTCTTTAATAAAATCAGGGAATATCAGGGGCAGCCGTCACTCTAAAGGACCCCCTTGCCACAGTTCACCTCTGCAGAGTACAGCAGTGTCAGACAGGCTCTGCTAAGTTTTAGTCTTAGAATGTTTTAAATCATAATGTTAATATTTCCTGTGTCACAGCCATGATATGTCAACACCATCTTCCAATTTCTGAGGAAATTATTTGAAATATTTTGATAATTTTATTCTCCTGAAGCAGGTTCCATTAGCATCTAGCATCAACACAGAAAAAAAATAAAATGGCTACTAGAGCTCCATTGGTTTTATGAAAAATTTTTCAACACCAAATTTGTCAACACCTACAATAATGTACAGTATTTGAAAAATAATGTGTTTTTTGAACATTAAAGCATGTCAACATATTCTGTTACACCAAATACACCAAATAATGATCTTTAAAAAAGCATCATATGACCCCTTTAA